AAAATTGACCCATACTATAGACTTGGGTCTAATTCATAGGGGATCTGATAATATGAAATTTTTGAATTATATAAACCACAATCAATGAGTACCAAAGTTTCTTTACTAGTGAGTGATACAGAATTGGGGTGATCTTGAAGACGCTTTAAAAACACTAATTATTAATACAAGCCTAAAATAAAGAAGCATAAAATTAAACATATTTCCAAATTCTAATCATAAAGCTTTTCTGAATCAATAAGCTAACCACTTTAAAAAAATATCTTGTTCTTTTTTTATAACAAGCTAACGGTTTGAAAAAAAAACATAGAACTCATAGAACTAAACTATATATAGTAAAACCTTCATAAGTGTATGCTCGAGTTCTGGCCCAAATATATTCATACTCCCTATAAATGCACATTGTTAAAGCTTGGTCTCAAGAGCGTGCATTTATAGAGGTTTTACTATACTATGAATTTTAAAATTTTGAACACACTAAATCCAGAGTTCATTATAAAAAGGCTTGTTATATTCAAAGTCAACTATACGTTTTTTAATGTCAGCTTGGCAGGTTCTTTTGATTTGTCCAGTAGTCAGAATTTGGTTAGTTTTCTATAACTTAGGCACAATAAGTGATTTAGGATCAAAGCCTACAAATTTACCTGCTAGTTATATAAACATAGTTCATTTCAACTTCTCTTTGCATTATTAAAGTAATACTTAGCTTGAGAAAGCAATAAAAATACTTATGAAAAATTATAAGAAGACTTTAGTAAGGAAAAAAAAAATCATATAATACATGAGTCAATAGAAATGGAACAAATCTATTAGATAGATTTGTCCCTTTTCTATTGACTCATATTGATTATCACTGGGTCAATAGAAATGAGACAAATCTATCTAATAGATTTGTCCTTTTTCTATTGACCCAGTGATGATTAAAATTAGATCAGAGTGTTTAGCCAGATTTGGCTAGGTTGTTTCAGATTTTATCCAAATTTTGTGTAATATAATACAAAAACCTGATTTTTTCAAAATTGTAATTTACCCGATTTGTTCCTTTTCTATTGACTCCCTCTATATAGCAAATAGTAATTTACAGTAAATTATGTATATGTACTATAAACATAAATATATATAAGATAAGTATCTTTATTTTGATACAAGTAATATTTACGATAAATATCACATGATTTACTAATCAGAACTAGATGGTTTTGGCATCATTCAATTCACCTTGTTGAGATAAATCGAATAGCACCAAAATCACCCAATTTTAATTATCAAATCATATTCTTAATTTGATATAGTGTCTAATTTAATACAAGTAAACATTTATAGTAAATACCATGTAATATATTTATTGGATTCACAAGATTTTGGTAATATTCGATTCGTTTCATTGAGACAAATTGAACAGTACCAAAATTCTGTAAATCTAATCAATACATCACATGATATTTACTATAAGCATTTACCTGTATCAAATTAGATATATCTATCTTGGACTGTTTTGGCCAAATAGAGTATTTCAAGAACTATTGATTAGAACCAAATGATTTTAAAACCATTTGATTTGTCTTAATAAGACAAATCGAATAGTACTAAAATTATATGATTCTGATTATTAATTCACAAGATATTGTTTTGCATCAAATTAGAGGGCTGACAAGTATTAGATCATTATACCCCCCCCCTGGGATTTTTATTTGATTCCCCAGTGTCAGTCATTTGATATTAGTAAAAATTTACAAAAATTGCATAATGCAATTTTTGTAAATTTTTACTAATATCAAATGACTAACACTGGGGGTTAAATAAAAATCCCAGGGGGGGGTATAATGACCTAATACTTGTCAGCCTCCTTAGAAACTATATCAAATTAGGTATATTTATCTTTTATACAGTATATATATATATATATATTATTACACCAGAGAACTTTTTTAACAATCACTTGGACCAAATTTTCTAATAAAAAAAAAAGTCTATTTTCAATACTAAAGAGTAGTAACCTGTAGTGAGATAAACTAACAGGACAGTTTTTTATAAAGATCAACTTTCTTTACCTCTTGGAAACTCCTTTATATATTCAATATATAAGCCAAAAGCATCTGTATACAAGATAACTGGCAAAAGATGGCATCTTCATATACAAAATTTTAGTGGATAGGTAAAGGTAATAAAGTTCAAGCCTTTTATCGATAAAGCTATTGGTTGTAAAACAACTAAGAAACAGTAAAGAATGGGTTTCTTTTAAGCTGCACTTCTTTTTTCTGACCAAGTAGTGCCTACTATCCTTTTTCTGCTTCCTTGTTTTTTTTTCAAAATTTTTTAACAAAAAGTAGAGATTTGGCTTACTCTCTACAAAAGATTGGCATTATTTATTTTTCAAATTCGGGCAGTCAAGTAGAATGCAACTACATATTTGTTTATAAATGAATATAATATTACTTTACAAGACTCAGCTCAGAAACTTTAATTACAGTAGCAAAAAACAGGTGGCTTGAAATACAGGTCCTTGGATGATGGCAGCATCTGGCTCAAGATATGAATAGATTCTTAAATGATGGCAGCACCTGGCTTAAGATATAAATTAGATAGACAACAGAGCCATTTAAAGTTAGTAAGAAGGTTGGAAAGTAAATTTAGTATTAAGACAGCTTTACAAAAGGAATATACAAATACAGTATTGCATTGTTATATAATTTTACCAACCTTGCACAGGTTATAATAGTGCTTTTAGGGTCTTAAATTTCTTTTTATATTTTTTCTTTTTCATAATTTGTGTTTATTTTTTCTTTTCTTTGTTTATTTTTTTTTTCTTGGTTATTTTCATAGTTTTTTAGTTTAAACTTTTCTCTCTTTTTGTCTTGTGCCTAGAGCTATGACTTGGGTCAAAAAATAGTGACCCAGGTTTGACCCGGGCTAAAAAATAGCAACCCGAGTTGACCCTTGTCAATAGTTATATAGATCAAGCTTGAAAATTTATTTTAAAATATAACCATTTTAACTTGGAAAATCTTGGGTTTTGTATCAAAAAAAAACTTTCAACCTTGCTTGTAATTAGAGTTCTTTCATTTTCTACATCAGAAAAACCCAGTTATTGCAATCTATCTGTCCATTTAACTGATCTGTTTGACCTGGATCAACCCAATTTTTGACCCATGACCTATTAAAATTCTGACCCATATGGGTCAAGCCAACCCGGGTAACAGCTCTACTTGTGCCCCTTAAGAAGAAAAAAGAATTGAAAAGAAAAAAGAGATCCTGACATGATGGGAGCTGAGCCCAGGATAGACTATATCTTTAAGTGCACTGTGCCGTACATGGGGTATAGTGGCCAATAGCAGTGTAATAACCAAGGTTGAACATCTTTTAGAGACAGCCAGCTTTTAGTCTAAAAACCTATTAGATAGCTTGGTCTTGTATTAAGTGTTATAAATTTAATAAACTTTAGTACGTGGTTACCAAAGAAAATATATATATATATATATATATATATATAGTATACGTATATAGCAAACTATTGCTAGTATTTTAATGTAATAAATTACTTAACACTAATATTTTTTTATATACAAACATATAGTTTTGATTGATGGTAAGCGTAACGTCTTTTATTAACGATAAAAAAAACCAACCCAATTAAATATATATATATAGATATATATATATAATTAAACCTATTACGTATCGCATGTACTATGTACGTGCTTACGTACATAATTGATAACAAAAGTAAAAATATAATTTAACTATAAAGTTTGAAATAGATTACTCTTTAAACTAGGTATATATTAAGTTTAACCAATTAATACACAAATTTTAAAGAAATTTGTTGTAAAAATTACAAATTATATATTATATAAAATAATTTCAAAGAGATAATATGTACATATACAGTGTATATATATATATATTTTAAATATAATATAAATTGAGAAAATCAGTATTTTATTCTATAATTTTTTTAGTCATGTTTAAAAAAATATTAATATTTTAAAATAGTGACCCAAGACTTACAGCACATTAGTGCAAATAAAAATCAGGGTCTATCCTAGAATCGTTTTGCTTAAATAAATCTTTAATAAAAAATAATGAAATAAAAGACAATTATTAAGAATATTCGTATTTAATAAAGGGTAATTAGGTTCATTTCTAGGATTTGAAATAATGGTGTTATAAAATACAATGCCATCAGCCGGCGCCAGCAGTGACAAATCTTTTATTACGATGCATATGTAAAAAATATGCTCGTGTGAAATGGAGACAATAATTACTCTACTAGTAAAGTTACTTTTGGGTGTTTATGCAATAGAAAAAAAAACATAAAAATTGAAAATGCAGTTCTTGTGTATGCCAAAGAATATCGAATATCGATCGATGAAGAAACGAACGATTGGCATCCCAAAAAGAGGAAAAAGGCAATAACGAAATGCGAATTAAAATGCGAAATAAAAATGTTCTATGTCTATAGCACGAAAAAATGTCATCTAGACAATACGCTGCCCGATCGTAGTCTATATAATTTATAAAATGCGTAATGAGTTCTATAATGTTGTTTTTTTTTTGTTTTGTTTTTTTTGTTTTTTTTTTTTTGTTTTTTTTTTTTTAAAAAAAAAAAGATTGGTCTTTTTTGTTGCTCGAGATTAAAAAAAAAGAAAAAAAGGAAGCAAAAAAGATTAAAAATATTCATTTGCTCGTTCATCAAAACAGAAACAAAAAATTATATTGTTTCTGTTGGACTTCATAGATATTCATATAGTTTTTTGATATAGTTTTTTGATATAGTTTTTTGTGCTTATAATGGAACTAACCCTTCATAATTAATAATAATTTTCTTTTTTCTACCATAATAGTCTTTAAATCATAATATGCTTTTTTAAAGAAAAAAAAAACTCTTAAAAGATTTACTATAAAATTAGAAAGTAATATATATGTAAGAACATAAATTAAACAAGCATAATTCAACAAAAAAAGTATCAATTAAAAATGCTTACCGAAACAAAATTGGCTTAAGGTAAAGCCCATAAATCATTTGGATGGTTGCGATTAACATGATAAATAAGACCCCCTTTACTACCATATGCTTTGTGACAATTTTCTACGCGGCATGGCCAAGGCTTTTGTCGAGCGCCATCGTTGCTCTAAAAAAAATTTAAAGGAACAATGAGTTTTATAGAATAATAATAAAACAATAGACTATAGGAAATAGATTATGTACAGTGTGTCCATGCTCGTTGTGGTATTTTAGGCCATTGGCATTTTTATATGCCTTTGTACAATCGGGCACGGGGCACCTATATGGATGATTGTCTACATCATCTGAACTTAAACCGCCGTTTGTTTCAGTTATCAAAGATACATCAGATGTTAAAACAGTAACTGAGGAAATATTAGAAGTCTCTAATGACTGTTAGCATAAAAAAAATAAATAAATAAAATATATTTGGAAAAATTTTATCAAGTTAAAGTAAAAAAAATAAATTTAACCATATAATACCTTTGAAACACGACGTTTGCACGTTCTTGTATCTGCCGATATAGTTCGTTTCTTTGAAAATTTTTTTCCTTGAGAAAATCCGTCAGGGGAAGTTAAAGCAGGGTCAGCATAAACATCCGACATCGCGACCATGCCTAGTAAATAGAAGATTGTATTAATTGTCTATAACCTTAAACAATATGATAATGATTAAATAAAATAAGTAACTTACCATTACTAGTTTTTGGACGGATTTTTACGAAAGACGAAACTAATCCAGAATTTGTCAAACCGGAAGATACGAACCCTACCATGTGATAACTGTCGGCTGAATACGGTGAGGTAGTAACGGGGGGTAATGAACCGGATGCACAAGGACTACGTGCATTATTTGTTGATGAATTATTTTGAACAATCATGTAGTTCTTAGAGTCCGAAGACGGTCGTGGGAGAGAGCCAATGGGAGAAGTAGCATTCCCTTGTAAATAATTTGTACTTGTTGACATAAAGTCGTTCATCTCAACCAATAAATTAGGATCAACAGTAGGAGATGAAGGTAATTGCCTATGTTGATCACGAGTAACTACAATAGTTGAAGTACCAGGTTGAGAAAAATCTGGATCTGAACCAATTGACATGAAAGAGCTTTGCTGATGGACTAACAAATTAGAATCTTCTAAAGAGGAAGATGCACGCCTCTGATTAGAAATTGTAGCTGTTATTTTATTAGAGTCAATTATTAATGAGATAAAATAAAATAAAAGTATTTCAAAAAAGAAGAAAAAAAAACAAAAAGCACATAAATACAATACCTGAAGAAGGACTACATTTATTATTAGATTTATCACCATTAATATTTGGTGATGATCTTGATGCATAAGAATTTTGTTGAGAAGAATTTGTGTCAGATCCATTAGAATTAATGTTTGTGGTTGATGAACGCCGACGACATTGGCCAGATTGAGAATTTGTGATTGAAGAAGGCGGCGTCGTTTGTGACCTAACATGACCATTTAGCCGAGATACATAAGGAGTAAAGTCCGGAATGTTAAATGAAGTATAATTATTCAACGAAGTTTTCGTATCATTTGATTTAGTTATAATAGAAGAATTTTGTTGCCTATTATTATTTGTATTAGTAGGAACAGTCGTAGATGATGGTGGTGGGGAAGAAGTTAAAATTGATGACTGATTGTCCAAAATTGAGATGAATGCAGAAAAATCTCCTAAATTTGTAGGTGAGGATGTAGCAGAACGCAAAAATGTTGAAGAATCAGTAGCATCAACAGGGGTGGGAGGATAAGACATTAATGGAGATTGAACAGCAGATAATAATGGATCTTGATCTGCGTTCATTTGGAAAGCGTGTGGAGAGGAATTGTAGCTTGTAGATATTGAAGAGGAATTTGAAGAAGTATGATCACGAATATATGTTGACTCAGAAACACTAAAATTTGAAGGATTTAACGCGTTTTTATTTTCGTATAGCCATGTCAAATGCAAATCTGTGTCAGATTCGCAAGATTTATCATCTTGTGAACCATTTCCTTGTCCAAGATTGTGAGAGCCCCATTTTTGTTTACCCATGACAGATGGAGGAATATCATTTATATAGGCATGAAAATTATCATCAGACATGTTAATATTGGGCTTTGATTCATTTTGAGGACTATGAGGAGAAGAATTCACCACAGAATGTACGAAACCAATAGGAGATGCATTAAAAGTGGGAAAACCATTGTCTACGTGATCAGAATGAAAAACGTTAACAATAAAAATTAAGAACGGTTGAATTTCCGGTAATAAATACCGGAGAAATTATAGTCATGTGACTAAGAGACTTACATTGAGTGTACACTGTACTTGTCTCAAATGGATAAATAGCACCATCAACCACTTTTAATCTCGGGTGATTAGTATCAACATGCTGCAAAAGATCGTGCAAGTTTCTGTGATCCATGTTACAGCACAGATTATCACGACAATGATTAACTTCGAAGGTTCTCAAATTAGAATCAGACGAAGGAGAAATAAAACTGGCACCGTCCGAAGAGCAGCCAACGTATAAATCTTGATCATGTACGGTACTCGAATTATCATCAGCCGAGCACGTTACAGAATTGTGTACGTAATCCGAGTATGAGCTAAAAATGAAGAGATTTAGTTTAAAAATAAAAAAAAAACAAGAACTTTATGAAGGGAACAATTTAAAATTGTAAAAAATATAATAAAGATTTAAATAAATCTAATTTAAATCATTTAAACGAAAGAAATAAAGCGAACGAGATTAAAAGCTTGTAATCTCGAAAAGTGAAAGTTTAACATAAATTCCGATCAAGATTTAGAAAATCAGAAAAAGAAATCACATACTTGTGAGAAGACACGGACGGTTCGGTTACTAAAGTGGAGGTGATATTACGATTGTACAGACTGTTCGAGATCGAACTAGGAATTGGAATAGGCAATGACAAGGCACCACCAGTCGATGAGTTCAATGTCTCAGTGGCGTGAGGCATTGTAAGACGAGAAAAAGCAAATATCTCGATCGATAAGACTTAAGAGAGCGAGAATAGTAGGACAGTCGACGGTGTATACCAAGAACAAGTATATTCTTCAGTTAACGACAAACTCTTGTAAAGAAATAACAAAACCGTATACGAGTCCTTATAAATTAAAAAGGTTGATTCGTTGAATTTGCGTAACGATTGGGTTTCATTAATAGGTGAAACCGTTAAAAGATTTTTTATCGTGAGAAATCGGGCAATAACAGTCGTTAGGTGTATAATTTATAGTTTTTTTTTAGAATTATAAAATTACGTAATAATATAATATATAAATATATATATATACATATACATATATACTGATGATTTATACTATATTTACGACGTTAAAAGAAGTAAAGAATAGAGAAGGAATAGGGAAGGTTTAAAAAAGACCTGAAATAAAGCTGAAATAGAACCAGCAAAAAAATTAAAGTCGTTAAAAATGGTCGTTAAGCTCGTTAATGATTAAGGATCAGTAGTTTGGTAAATTCCGAGAGAGCCATATAAATATATGATTGCAAAAAAAAAAAAAAATTTAAAACGGAAACAATTATATAATAAAGTAATCTACTATATTAGACATGTCGTAGGCTGAAGAGAGCACAAAATAACATAAACAATGCACACAAGGCACATCAACCGTCGAGACATCAGAAAATTTGACATTTTAAATAAATATTTTAACCAACTTGATAAATATCACACAATAACAGATAATATATTGTTTATGTTTATTCTAAATATCCACAAATGAAATAAATGATTACACTTTAATTTGCATAAAGATAAGATAATGGTCATTGTAATAAGCCCGATAAAAAGTCCACTTGTATTCTAATACCGATTGGTCTTTGCGCATCCAATGAAATGTATATAAATGGTAACTTAGTAAGTAGTATCTCAATATAACGTGGTAATATTAGGAAATATAGGAAAATATAGGAATAGGTTAAGAAATTTTATATAATCCCTTAGGCGGGGAGTCTGCAAGCCAACACATACGTACTTAAGTATGTACATACATACGTACATATGCGTACAAAATATCTAACGAAACGATTTCAATGCAGAAAAATATCATGACAGGTTTCTATTACAGGATTCGATCACGTCCAGACGAGTCAAGCCTAGACAAAATAAGAAACACCTAATGTGATGTAACGATTATTGGAATAGAAATTGATTGAACTGACACATATTTACACGTGATATATTCGTTTCCACAAGCTTTTTTAAGACAATATCATGTAGTAACTAGTTATATGCATAACATAATGTGTTGAATGAATGAATGAATGAAGTATTATTGTATTTGATAAACAATTTTCTCCAAATTACCCAAATTTAGTTAGGAAATGAATATATTACTATATTTTATACAAGTATTTTAATAAACCAAAATATAAAACAATGGGCGGTTAATGCCGTGATTCATTAATAATTACAGAATTAAAAATTGTTATAATAATTGTTATAATTATTTTTTGGCTGATTCTTTTAAACACGTGCCATATTCTAAAAAAAAAAGAAAAAGAGGTATCTTCGTTTGTACGTATTCGTTTGTATAAGTCAAATGACTGACTCTTGCATGGAATTTAGGATCCAATTATTATTTAACACATAGAAAATTTTTAAGGATTTAATCCTATTTAAACAACAACAATGGCATCAAAAGGCAATAAATACGTCAATTATTTATCAATTTATGCGCGTGGCCAAAACATCAAATTAATTTATCATGTATGATTATGCATGGTCTATTTATCACTTTAGCCCAGCCAGCCTTTCGAAACATATTCATTGTGACTATTAAATAATTGAACGTGAATAGTCACTAAAATAATTTCCGTAATACATATTCGTAATACTGTATTAGACCCTGAATCCCTGACAATCAATCAATCCACTTACTCTTTGATGTTGATTCTTGCCAATTTATAACATATAAAAAACGTTTTAAATACCGGTTTCTGCATTAACTCTATTAAAATGTATACTTTTTAAATACGGCTTACCTTTTATCCAAAAGGAATCCCACGCGCGCCCTTTCCCCACAACTCCCATCCAATCCGTGAATTTGCTGACTATTTACTCCAAAGTTTGTAATACAATTCGTATTGGACTGTGATACTACGTCGTTATTTATTTACGCTCCATATACAGTTAATAACTTTGTCCAATCACAAATGTTTATCTTGTAGAAGATCAACGATTATCTACTTACCATTAGTACTGTTAATACTAATTTCTGTTAGTGGTAAATTACCGTTAGTGGTAAATTATTGTTAATAGTAATGTTCATCGTTAGTAGTGTTACTGTTAGTTACTGTTAATAGTCTTCTGTATTCTGATATTCCGTGCTATTCTTTCTTACCTGTTACATCTTTGATAACGAATTTGATGACTAATTAAAAGTAAGATAATCAACGCTATTATTTACAAAATTGTAATCGTGCATTCATAGTGATAATTTATCTTCTTGCATACATTCAAATTCATTATAATAATAGCATATATCGATATATATATATTGCATATATATACACATATATTAATATATTAATGTGGTGTTAGTCGTCTAGGTTTTATTTGTCCATTGTGTATGTATCTTTGCTGTCGTTTGTGTATGTTCATCTGATATTTATAGACTGTTAGCCTAAAACATTTCAATAAAAATGTGAAACGTAAACAAACTTACAAATATGTAAATGCACTAAAGCACGCACGCCAAAAAGCAGAGCTTCCTAACCTGGCGACATCTAATGGTTGTTTCTTCCCCACAAATTGGTCGTCAGTTGAATAGTATTTTGTTCGTCTCGATATCATTCTTATTACTAAGTAAATTAATATATTGTCAAATAAAATTGGGGTTTCCTTATATATTAATTGTCTCTGTCTCACATTTCATTTAAAAGTTCCTTTTTCTGTAAACTTGCTCTAATGTTACGTTTCATATCATCGGTATATTCAATGGTTTTTTTCATTTTTCTAAATGTTCTTCCCCACGTGTGTTTTCGTCCGCAGTACAAGGGACGAATGCAACCGACTATATTGAACGTGTGTGTATTTATAATAAATTAAATGACGTACAATCGATCATAGTTTACAAATGTTCATTTTAATTCGGATGTTTTTTTATATGTTTAGTTGTAGATAAAACAATAGCCTAGGAAACAGCATATATATATATTGTTTACAAGTATCAACTTATCAGTTGTGTGATATTGAATTCACTAAATTGGTTCATACAAATCCTTGTTGTTGAGATGTCGGCCGTTATAAAAATTAAGCAATTAGGCGTTTTTGGATAATAGTTGATGGTAAGGTTACATTTGGCAACTGCATAGAATATACCAATAATTTTTGATCTATATGTACGCCTTCACTTTTTATTACTGCGCTTTTTCACAATCACGCGACCTCTCGTGTATGTCCGTCTTTCTCACATGTCGGCTTTAATTTTTTTTTTTTTACAGGGTTAAAATCATAGTATGATATTCAAAATGCAGATGTACACATTTTAACAAATACACGTGGGGCCACAGATTCCTACGAAAGTTTTGTTCAATCCTTTTTTCGAGAATGACATAATATGCTACCTCACGTTAATGCCCGCTCATTAGCCTTGTATATGTCTTAGAAGACTTTTACAAAACTACCAAATAAAGTATAACATTTACATTGAAAAGATTTGAAAGTTTCCCGAAAATACTACAAAATCAAATATTATTTTTTGATGATTGTGCTGCAAAAATATCAATTTAATTGGAAGGTTACTCATGTTAGGAATAAATGATTTTACAGAATTAGAAATGATTTTACAAGCATCCTTTGTGCATGCATAATAGACATGAGTACCCGATTATCAAGATTAAACTAAGTTTAATTTTATATACATATCATATACCAGGGATTATCAATGGCTAGATATTTTTATACTGTGTTATTTTTTACTTTATATCGCTTTATTTAGAAAGTATAATATGCTTACATTTATTTTTTTAACAAAAGATTTTATTACTCAGCATACACGTTATCAATTTAAATTTTTCTAGTTATTGTAAAATTATATATTTTGTATTAAACTTGGTTTTTTAAAAAAATGCAAAAAAATTAACTACAATATAGTGTATTTTTTATAACAAAATTGGCAATAAAAACAATAAAACTTAATATAGTACAGTTATATTTGTTTAAATAAATTTAAAATCTAATTTAGTTACTAATATTAATTTTACTAACTATTTTACTAAATAAAATATAAAATTTTATAAAAAAGTTTTTAAATTTATACTAGTATATAAAACATATATAGTATAATAATAGTTATAGTTGGCTAATTATATATATATATATTTTTGTTCAATTTGGCAATTATGCTGATACTTTATTCAAATTGTATATAATATTTTTCAAACTATTTCATTAAAAGTATAACTGCTGCAGCCTAGTGTTGGAACTAAGCTAAATTCAAATTTACATGTATTAACTAATCTAGCTCTTTGTAACAAGAGTCTAAATTATTTATATTCGATCTGCTATAGTAAACAAAACCAGTAAGACAACTTTACAATAATGAACATAAATACTTACTCTAATCTATTTAATTCATTCACATTAATCATTTCATTCTGCTATGGGTATAATATCAATATAATTAAAAACAGCAAGACATGAATATAAATCTCTAATTCTAATTATCTAATATCTTTCAAAATCATCTCATTTACATTAATCATTTCATTCTATTCATAGATATAAAGTATATTTATTAATAAGCAAAGTTAAAATTAGCAAAGCAACATCATAATTATAAATATAAATTTTAATACTATTATCTAATACTGTTCATTTTATTCATATTAATTATTCTATTCTGCTGTGTATATAAATAACATTTATTATATCTATTAATTATTAATTGATATAATTAAAAATAGCAAAACAAGTTTATTACAAACATAAATCTTTAATTTCAATTATCTAATGCTTTTAAATTATCTTATTTGCATTAATCATTAGTAGGCAAGATCACAGGCCTCCTCAAGCACAAACAGATGTCTCTGAGCCAGATCATATATGTAAACAATGCAATTCTTATACCTACTCTTGAATATAGATTAATGATCTCGTGTTTAACTAA